TAATAAATAAATAAAGCAGCAAGCTCCTACAGATACCTACAAGCAAAGATATTCCCATCTCTGCTGTCCAAGTCTCTTTAATTGAAGGTTCCATAATATTGTAGGTTCTTAAATTTAACAACACATGGGTTTTACCACTGAACAATAACTTTTTCACATTCTTTTGTTAACTTACAGGCCTACTCCATTGCGACAGTTTCAAATTTCTGGCAATCTAAACTATTCTTGTTCTTTCAAAAACTAAACCACATCCATCTGAAACATACTGTCAAATCAAGCAAGAACCCCCAAGCAGTTTCTGAGAAACCAAGCAGATTTTCTAGAATTGTTTAATCAAGAAGAACCAGGACACTTATAAAGCTACATCTCCAACCTTCAATCTTGACAACCAGTCCAAAAAGACACTATGATTTATAAGGTCAAGAGCAGCTAGGAGATACAAAAGTATAGATAGGATTGCACTTCCTATCAAAAGGGATCCCCAAGATGACCGAAATATTCTCTTTTGCAAACTCAACTTATACTAATCAGAAGAAAACTCTAGGCATGCATCTCTCTCTCTGCGTGTATTTAGACAAAATTTAAAAAATTATGCAAGGGTTACACAGGACATTTTTGAAATAATAGTTTTGTCTAGGTAAGACTTCACTGGAATTAGCAATTGAAAGCACCACTGGTAACCTCAAAACTTAAATTAAAAGGAGGGGAGAATGAAGAAGTACCCTAATATGAAAAACATACCATCTGTTATGCAAAAGAAGCAAGTGAATGTTCTTTCAGCTAATAGTCAAACACAGAGAAAGTTATCAGTATAGAGGCCAAGATAAAATACAGTAAGATAAGTAAGCAGGGCTAGGAAAATCCACCCTACCATTAAAAGATAAAATCCATTACAGAAATGAAATGCTGCAAGCTTATCACCAATTCTCAGCATGATGACTTTTCTTTAAGATTACCAATGCAAACTGTACAGATCAGTTCAAAAACTACAATATTATTTTAAAATGCAATGTCAAGAACACAGAAAAAAGTGCGGTCCCATTCAGTTTTGACTCCTGGCCCCAAGAATGGCAGTTTGTAGCCTTGCTGCTAACAGGTAGGAACTTGAACGGAATGCAGCCTTTGGAAGAAAAACAAAGCACGTTAGAAGCCCAGTGAGAAGTGATGAGAAAAGGCCAGGAGTGGGCTGAATGGTAGCAGAGATGGTGAAACTTCATGACCTACTTAGGGTTTGGGTGAGGGCTGGTTTTGAGAAGGGAGAAGCAAATGACAATCTCTAGGTCATCTCTACCCACTCTGCACCTTCCTCCTGATTTGAAAGGCTATTAAAAATAATAATGGGCAGTAACTGAGTTGACACTATGTTTCCCGCTGACAGCAAGATCTTCATGGATGCCAGGTGTTTGGGAACTGTTTCTAGAAGTAGTCTAGCATTTTTCCATTTCTGCTTACAAGCCTCTTTTGCAGATCCATCAAAAGGGAAAATATTTCTCAAACTAGAAAGATGTAAGAAAAAAACAAATACTTTGGGGACCTGAATTCATGGGCTTAGATTTTATTAGCAACTGTCCCATAAATATGGGCATGCTATGAGAAGATCCCATGCTCTCTGTCAGAATGACATAGATACTGTTGATGAAAAGTCCCTCAACTAGTCTTGGCTGCCAATCAAGAGATCAGACAAGCTTGTGGAGGAAGTTATGGCTGTGGCAACTGTCACTTTAAAAATCAATGGAAAGTCCACCAATCCATATGACTCTTTCCTCCTGTGAAAAGCAGCTGTTGCACTGTGACAAAAAAGTGAGTTTGCTATCAGATGAATATATGGAGGAAGTTGATGTCTCCAAATTAGAAGAGAAAAACAAAATACAGGAAGCGTTTAACAAAGGTAATAACTGAGAACAAAAACTCTAGATTGAATGGAAATAATTATTCTCTGCTAATGGATATGTCTCCCTCCATTATAAGTTGCCTATACCATGCCATACCTGCAAGCCAGTCTGGTTAAGGGGCTGGACTAGAACATGGGTGACCAAGAGTTCTAGTCCTCCCTTGGACGTAGAAAGTGGCTTGGTAACTTTGGACTAGTCACTCTTTCTCAGCCCAATCTACTTCACAAGGGAAAATGTTGTTGTGGGGGAAAGGCCATCCCATCTAAGTTCACCACTACGTTACCTTTTCACATTATACAAATCAAGTTATTTGTTAACTCAAACTCAAAAAATAATAAATTTGTATATTTATTTCAACTCAGGCAATTTTCTTGCTTTATATTTTGTTTCAGTTATAAACAAGCACTTCAGTTACAAACACTTCAGTTACAAAAACTCACATGTCTTATACGACAGTTTTCTAACCCATTCATAGAATGGTTTTTATTTGATATAAAGGTGCATTCATGGACAGTATTCAATATGTAACTTGAGATACACTGTGGTTTTCACTGTAATAGTCCATCTTACCTGTCAGTAGGTATAAGCTACAGACAACATTTCCTGATCAAGTCTTAATTCACTATGCTAGATAAATTTACATTGTACAGTATTTTGATCCCAGAAATCTAGGAATACATAAAACTGGAATTGTTTCTATCTCCAAAATCATCACTAATTTGAATGAATTAATGTTTCCATGAACATTAGTTGTCATGTACAGGATCTTCAGAGAGAAATCTTAAATCTGATGTTTAAATTTTATGCCTAACAGTATCAATAATGGATTAAATCTTGCGGATTCACCTTCAAATAGAAACCCAGAAGGAAGAAAACTAGTTCAAATATACTAGATGTAAACTTTATTCCAATCTAATTTGGCTATAAGAAACTGGGAATCTTCATGGTTGGTTTAGCTGGTTTCAAAGTATGCTTAAGTAGCTCTTAAAACTAAATAAAGTACACTAAGAAGAATTTGATTACCTGTTGGTCTTAGGATCAATTCATTGCTCTTTGCCACACCAGGTTTGTCCTATTTGTGAGTATACCAATATTACTCCAGCTTATAAATGTTTCTAGTTTTTCTCTATAAAGTGTTAAAAGACAGGGATCTAATGGAGAT